CCCCAAAACCCCAAAACCCCAAAACCCCAAAACCCCTGCTTGTCACATATATATTGGGAGGATAATTTAGTAAATAATTTAGCAAGATGGAAGGCCCAAGAGTTATTATTTCAGGATTTGCAAAGGTATGGGTTTTAAAGATTGTTATTAGAGTAAGAGGAAAGGATCTCCTAAAAAGAATGCTGATCTCCTTGATATAATTAGTCTAAAAGAAGAAACAAAGACACCTTCTGAAGAAGAAAAAACCAAGAAAGAAGAGGTAAACAGAGAAAAATCATACCTTTAGATTGAAAATCCAGACCACACAGTCCCAATTATCGAGAAGTACTACCTCCGCTTCCCCCAACTCCAAATCAATCGCAAAAATATCCGCTCTAAAAAGAAGGTACCCTCCCAATAACCCCATCTAGCTGCGACAACTATTCATCGACACCGTCAAAAAATACATCGGAGTACCTTACGCTAGGCGCAAGTACACCCCTGACGAGAACGAGTACTACTACCCTATATATTTGGACTGCTGAGGACTTATCAGAAGAGCCATGTATGATCTTAAGGATAACTTTGGCTTCAAGATTGGGTATGTTTAGAATATCAAGTTTTGATAAGCTCACTCTTAATTATTTCTCATAAGATTTGCTAATTTTTAATTATAGGCCCGGAAATCAAGGATACCAAGTGAAGAAGTTGAATTAATTTATAGGTAGATACTCTTCCCATCGATCTCCGACAAACTGATTTGAAGCCAGGTGACTTAATCTTTTATTCAGGTAATTACTTCAAATTCTAATTGTGAATAGGAACTGCTATAAATCCAAAGAAAGTAAGAGTCAATTTTTTTTGAAGGTTTAATCATGAAATAGAAGCCTTGGTGGCATCACATGAAACATGTTGAAATGTTTACTGGTGGTCCTACAGGGGTCCAATCTATCGGCTCTAGAGGAAAGAAGAAAGTAGTGAATTACTTTGATAGTTTTAAGGTACCCATGTGCTCTCATTTTATAGTTTGTCTCAAGATCTTACACTGACATAAAATGGCATTACAAGTCAATAGACACTTGGCTTGAAGGAAAATGTAAGATTGTTTGCCAGGTGCACAGATTAAAAGGGCCAAAGATGAAGAAAAAGGTAAAATCTGCGTATTTGAAACGAGTCCATTTCAAAAAACAAAAACAGAAACAGAAAAGACTTGAGAGTTTTGAGCAAAAGAAAAATGTAATTTTGAAAAATAATGAATAGACTAATTTTAGTGTTTTCACTGCTTTCACAGATAAGTCTTATTCTTTCCCGGCTTTCCAATAAGTCCTGAATAATGTCAAGGTTAAGATCCTCCCATCGGAGTAAGGGTCCGACTGACTTTGTAGGACCGATGAGCCAGGTGAATGGAACGAGAAAGCGAGGATCGCCTTTGTGTCTAATCTGAGGATTGTGGACTACGCTCGGTATTTAGACGGATTCCATATGGTTAATCATATACAATCGAGATATAGAGGAGGGACTACGGTAGGGTTCCTTAAGTTAATTGAGCAATGTAAGAACTCGATGAGATGCGGAGTGATCAAGCCTATTGCAAATTTTGAGGATGCGTTTATTGAAGGATACTGCTTAAGGAATGTTGGTGATTTCTGGACATTTCTGAAGTAAGTATTTTAAATTGAGAATATCAGATTTTTGCAAAATTTTAAGATTTTGAGATGTGGATTTATTTGAGCTCTCAGTTTGGAAAAGATACTGCTTATTTTAATTTTGTCTGTCAAGTTCTTTCGATTTTCTTATACTGCTAGATCTTACCCTCCGAAATTGTTTATATCAGGGTTGGAGAGAGTGTAAGAAACAATAGTTATGAATATTTTGGAGAGGTGTTATCTTAAAACTCCATTCATACCTTTACAGCCGTCCAAACGAAGGAATCTGGATTTACAGGAAAGGTCTGATAGCTCACGGCAGGAATCTGTTCTACAAGAACATTAGTAAGTCCTAACCCCCTCAAAATCTGCTATTTATTCACTCAATCTTCGTTTAGTTGTCAACCTTCTGGCCTTTAAGGAGACTTTACTTGGAATGGAGCCTGAAGAAGACTATTGGCTTAAGGATCTAAGCCTGCTAGACGATGACTTTTCTGTCTCAGCTATTGACGAAGAAGACAATGAGAGCAACTTCTCTTCTGATCAAGGCTCTGACTCTGATAAGAATGATAGCGAAAGTGAAGGTCTCTCAAATTCCGGTTCCGATTCTGATGAGATAGATGAAGAGGAATCTGATGGACTTGAAGAGGAGAAGAAGGATTTAGAAACAGGCCAATTAATCAACCCTGCAAAGATAATGAATCCAAACTTGCCAGTTATGTTCATGAGGAACAAAAAGAGACTTAGAAAGTTAGCAAAACGCCTCAAGACCAGAACTGTATGGAAACAGGTTGAAGAATATCGCCCAAGAAAAAGAAAACGGATGTATGGGAAAGTTTTGATACTTTTAGGACAAGATCAAGATCAATCCCAAGATTCATAAAATCTAAAAAGATGAATCAAAAAGAGGAATCAAGTGGAGAATCGGAAGAAGAATTTAAAGAAGAATTTAAAGAAGAATCAAAAGAAGAGATAAAGGAAGATGGTACGGAAAATGTATAAAATTAGTTTTAAATAAAGATTAGAAAATATAAACATTTTCTTGATAATAGGTATCCTTCATCTATCTTAACTCTTTATCATTTCCCACCTCGAGCAAACTCTGTATAAAAAGAATGTTTATCTTTGAAACCCTAACCTCATGTACATTATGTAGTTGCACACTTCAAGTAAGTTTGCCCAATTTAAGAATCAACGTCCTCTTGCTCTCAGCTCCAGCAATACTAATATTCTCTAAATGCTCAAACTGAGGGCCATCCGAGCCTTGGTTTCTTCTTTAACAATATAAAATTTCGCCTTTAACAATAAAGCTCTGAGATAATGGCCATAGCTCCAACAGCAATTATAATGTATATAAATCTCAAACCCATATTTCACTAAATTATCCTCCAATAAATCTCGTTTTCTTCCCAAATTTATTTACAGTGCCTTAATCGCTGCTAAAATTTTAAGATTTTACTCTAAAAATTAACCAGATTAAAACCTTGGTAAACATATTAAATTAACCAGATTTGGACCAGGAATGACAAAATGTATTCGGTCAAGATCTCTTACACCCTCAATGTCTGCTTCCTTGCAGTCTAGATGCAGAATTAGGTGCATAGAAATGCTAGATTGCATGAGCAAGCTAAGCTATGCCTAGGATTACATCTTAAGCTTTATATGCTGCTTAGAAGGTGATAAAACTCAGGATTGGTATTAACCTTGATTTGTTATGCTGAATTAGATTCACTATTTTTGAAGGGTTTATTGGGAGTTTGGCCATTTTATAACAGATTTTGGTTTTGATGTTATTTATTAATAATAGAAGCATTTATGAGGAAGAGTGGGTTTAATTATGCTTTAAGCGACAGATTTAGAGTAGTTTTATATTTTTAAATGTGGTAGTTACAATTGTTGAGCTTAACCATGATCTTCGAGCTCTGCTGTTAAAGGCGAAATTTAATATTATTAAAGAAGAAACCAAGGCTCGGATGACTCTCAGCTTGAGAATTTAAAGAAACTTAGTATAGCTTTAGCTGAGAGAAAGAGGATGCTTTATTCTTAAATTGGGTCAAAATTGCTTGAAGTGTGGAATTACATAATGTACATGAGGTTAGGGTTTAATGATAAACATTCGTTTTTGATCTAGTATGCTGTAGTTTAGATGAGGAGAAGTGGAACAGAGAAATGAGGGACATATGGATAATATATAATTAAACTTGTTTGATTTTGATTTCAGATTACTAAATAGTTCTCTGTATAGATAACATCAAGCTCGATGAGACAAAGTATATCCCTTACCATATTTTAGTACATTTGTAAATTACCACCATAGATTACAATATGTAAAGGACGTTTTGTGTGATTGATTAACTCATCTGAAGCTGAGATGCACCTCTCAAAATTGATGCCTGATTCAAGGGAACCAAGAGGAAGAAGTTCAACTCGAAAAACTCGCTCTAGATCCTCAGGCAGATCACCTGACAAATCTCCTGCATTGATAAAGGATACAAAAGCCTCAACTCTTAATGCAAGGATGAAATCAATTTGCAAAGTCGTAGCTCACGAAATGTGTTTCCACATGAACAACTTAATCCCAGGTTGCTTTGAACTAATGAGGTTCTACTTCCTAATTGACACGAATCTGAACCCTGTCCTGAAGGAGATCTCTCGTAATCTTGATGAAGAGGTACATCTGTTATCTATCTTATAGAGATTCTTTACCAGCCATAGGAAGAGAATAGTGGAAACTTCGATCAGAATAGTCAAGAGTATAGCTAGCAAAGCGAAGGTGTGGAGGCGCAAGGGAGTTATGCAGATGATTGACGAAGCGAGGAAGGTGGATAGGAGAGCGAAGGAATTTAAGGTTTTGGTTAAGGTTTAGTGGAAAGTGAGGTTTCGGGATTGGAGACGTTCAATTTTAGAAGGAAGGAATGGGGTTTTGGGGTTTTGGGGTTTTGGGGTTTTTGGGG